TTGATTGAAAGTTAAATTTATATATTTCAATCACTTTATCTAATTAAAAGATCTGACATAAGCTAAAAATATCAACAAAGTTTTTTCTTATACATCTTTTTTAATATAAAAAAAAAACCTGTTGGCCGACCAGTGCAAATCGATATAGTCCGTGATACAGACCCCTTTTTATTAAATTATTAACATCCGTCTAAAACTTCGTAAATAGCTTCATCTCATTGTAACCTAAAAATATTTTATTTACGAAAATTCTCGGAATTGGTACATTTTCAATCTGACGATCATCAAACTCCGTCTACTTAATTAGGTACTAAAAACTAATGGAATCACATTTTCTTTCCACTTGAATCGTAAGATAATATGAATCAGAAAATCGATAAAAAAAGGTAGCCTACAAAAATATTGGGACGTTTGGCCGTATGTACACCTTATTTTGTGTTATAGGTCAAACGGATCAACATTTTTGTAGGCCACCTTTTTTCATATTATCTTACGATTCAAGGAGAAAGCAAGTGGGTACTCATACGTTTTTTATAACTAAACAATAGATAATGTTTGCCGAGATCCTAAATGAAACAATTACGAGAAGTTTCGTAAATAAAACATCTGTAGGTTACGATGAGCTGAAGCTATTTACGAAGTTTCAAGTGTATGTTAATAATTTGAAAAAAGAGGTCTGTACTACGGACTAATATATGAAGTAAAAAAAATACATGTATGTTTTAATAAAAATATATATTTTTTATAAAACGAAATAATTCGTTTTTACATCTGGTGCGGTCCTAATATCAAACAAATTTTACTCGCTTCCCTGAGTATATATTAATTTCATAAGGAACATTTTTATTTTTATTCAACGCTGATGATTAATTTATTAATCCATCGGCATCTCTTCCTATCTAGAGTTAGTTTTTATTAGTTATAGTTAGATGAAAAAAAATTAATAATTGCTCAACATTACTAGAAAATAATTTCTATTCAAAGTAGAGAGGTAAATGAAAGTTATTTGTTGAACGCACGAGATTTTTAAACTATGGTTATGAACTCTCATATAAATAGGGAATAACTGGTAAAAAATATACATAAAAATGTCGAGTAACATAGTCTGGGTGATTTCAAATGGACTGATCCTGCTATCGAACTATTTCACTGTTAATTATTTTCTCTGTTATGAGATATGATAATAAAAACATAATATTGAAGGAAGCTATTAGACTGTTCTACATATCATGAGTGATAAATATTCAGGACGCAGTCATTATAAAAAAAATTATTTGTGCCGATGTTTCAACCCAAACGTGTGGGTCATCATCTACGTCATTTCCGTAGAATGTAAATAATTTGCTGACTAAATATTCAAGATGTGTACAAGCATTACAAGCATATTCGAAAGGAATTATATTTTCATACCGAAAAGGAAAAAAGAAAATTCCAAAGTAATTCAAAATTAACAACACCAGTATTAAATTATCGACTGACTTAACATATCTCGGTATTCAATTCGACAGATATTTAAAATTTACTAGACATTTTGACAAAAAATTAAAACAGTAAGATCTAAGACATACAGACTCCAAAATTTAATTCGGACAACAAACCTATCTTTACGCCTAAAGCTTCTAGTCTATGCAAGTATAATACGGCCGGCTCTGTTGTATGGTGCACCTCTGTTCGAACACATCAGCAAAACAACTCTGAAAAGATTACAATATTTCCAAAATGGAATAATTAGAAAAATTGTTAGAGGAACCACGCTGCAGAGAAAGAAGACATTGGATATACAAACAACACTAACCTTATGAACAATAAAAGAATTTTTCGCAAAACGAAAAAAATAATTTTTCGAAAAATCCCAACAATTGGCAAACCCTTTTTTTAACAATATGTTACCAGCCAAAATTCCAAAACGTTGGCAACAACTCACATGAGATAGATGTTTTATTAATTTAGTTGTAAGCTCTAGAGGATAAGGTCAACTCAAGCCTGAGGTGAGCCCCATCACCCTTATATTAAAGATGAAGAACGAAATACTTAGAAACGACAAAAATCTAAAAATAAACCTTACAATGCTTTTAAGCAGTAAAAGGTGTATTATTAAGACATATTTATATACTTATTAATAATAATAATCAGAATATCTTGTGCACATCTTGAATATTTAGTCAGGTAATTATTTACAATCTACAAACAGAAATGTTACCTCTCTCTCCCTCTGACTATGTTTATTTACCTTTTGCTATCTGAAAAAGGACAACTGGGAAATCCTCTCTCGATCCTTTTCACTTACCTACCAAATGTGTCAGTACTTGAAAGCCTTCAGTGCTCGAACCATGGTTAGTAAGAGACAATATTACAATTTTTTATAAATAGATTATATATATTATTTTTATTGAATATTTAATAGTTGACCGTTGCATTATAAAGGAAGGAGATGGTCCGGGGTTGCGGTCATAAATAGGCTAAATAGTGGTAAAACTATTTTATTGAAAGCCAACCTTTCGACTCGACTTTGCAGGTCTTCATCAGGGCTAGAACGGACAAGATACAAAAAGATAGAGAATTGTGGCAATTACATAATATTTAGACATAATTTATAAACAATGTGAATAAGCTTATAAAATGATAAACAGTAAGTACAATAAAATATGGACTAACTAAGCTGAGTAACAAGATCCTAAACTGAAGTAAATAGATGCTAACAATTGTTGTAGTGTAATATATAATAAATGAAAATGTGAGTATAATTCTACAATATCTACATGAGAAAAATAAGATGATGTATACCTGCAAAGTCGGGTCGAAACGTTGGCTTTTAATAAAATAGTTTTGCCACTATTTAGCCTATTTATGACCGCAACCCCGGACAATCTCCTTCCTTTATATTATTTTTAGTTTGTATAACTTTTTACATATTTAATTTTTAATATTGTGTATTATAATATTACTTAAGATTCGTGTAACATCAATCACTATAGTTTATTATTAACAATTATCGGTCGTATAATATTATATCTCTGATTGTATTTTAAAATTTTCATCCCTGATGATAACCTGATGGGTTGAAACGTCGGCACAAATAAAAATTTTTATGACAACGTCCTGAATATTTATCATACATAAAACCATAATAGTTTCTTAACAAGTATTCGCATGGATATTATTGTTATTAGTATCGCAAAAAAATATTATATAATAAATTTAAATATAGATAAATAATATATAATATTTTTGGATATTACAGCCAGCTGTTGAGAGTACGGCAGCGGGGAGGAGGCAGGCTCGACCAATCGATAGATACACCGTGCCTCTTTCTCCTCCCGTACCTTCCTAAATTTAGCGCTTCTCTTCTCCTCATCTCTCTTTTATATATATATATATATATATATATATATATATATATATATATATATATATATATATATATATATATATATATATATTATATCATTATAAAATGTTTATTTAAAAATGATTAAGAACACACGAGCCTCACTAACTTTACAACATCACTTACAGTCCATGGTATAGACCTGTTTTTATCAAATTATTAAAATCTGCCTGAAGCTTCGTTAATAACTTTATCTCATCGTAGCCTACAACTATTATATTTACTCCATTCTCAATGTCTTAATTTTACTATTTATTTTCATTTCTTATATAACTTCATATTTCTTTTTTATGTTTTACATTTTATTTCAAGATTCCCATTTTAACACTTATGTCACCCTTTTTGATTATGCTTACTTTATCATTCCACACTTTGTAACGGTTATTATTATTTATCTCTTAGTTCTTACTATTGTCATTATTCTAACAATTTCATTTCACTTTATTTTTTTTTAAATATTTTTTTTTTACCATCACTACTTATGTTTCTCATACCTTGTTATCTGGTTATTTTCTTAGTCCTGATGAAGGCCTGAACTTCAGGTCGAAACGTCGGCATATGTAAAAATAAATATTATCATTCATTTTTGCCTTCTTTTTTGACCGACCATCCCAACTATTCTTCTCTTTATTATATTTACGAAAATTCTTGAAATTGTAACGTTTCCAATACTGAGATCGGCAAACTTCTTCTATTTAATTAGCTAATAAAAACTCGTTAATACCCTTTTGCTTTTCACATGAATCATAAGATAATATAGCGTGACATACACCCCCAAAATGTCAAAATAACGAAGTTATATAGGCCAAGCGGTCTAATGTATTTGTAGGCCACATTTTTATCGATTTTATGATCAAATTATCTTACGATCAAAGTATAAACCAAATGGGTATTTACGAGCTTTTAGTGCCTAATTAAACAGACAATCACCAATCAGACACAGTTACGAGAAAAACCTGAGCTATAGATTTTTTTTAAACTATGGTTTTGAACTGAAATAAATAAATATGGAATAAAAATTTAAAAAGTAAAAATTTATAAAAATCAAAAATGTCAAGCAACATGATCTGGGTGATGTAGTGAACAATTTAGCTTAACATCGAAAGTATCAAGAAACCCAAACGACATATTAAAGTTAGTTATATTCTTATTTTATTTATTTATTTTTTTTTTTTATATATTTTTTTTTTGCCTCTAACTATAACTATATAATAAAAACTAACTCTAGATAGGAAGAGATGCCGATGGGTTAATATATTCATCAGTACATCAGTACCATTTCAAGATTAGTTGTCAGTAATTTTTACAATATTAAATAAAAATAAAATGTTCTAAATTAAGTCAATAAATACTCAGGGTAAACAGTAAAATTTGTTTGATATGAAGACCGCACCAGATGTAAAATGTAATCTAAAAAATTATTTCGTTTTATAAAAAAAACATATTTTTATTAAAACATACATGGCTTTTTTTTTTAACTTCAAATATATATTAGTCCGTAGTACAGTAGTAAGAAAGAGGAATTCTATTTAAGGAAAGCTATTGTAAAAAAGACCACATTATAAAATTTTACGATAATAGGAAAAAATATAGGTATGAATGTCAAAAGACAATGCCGGTATGTATGTGGCAGGTATACGGGTACGAAGCTATGTTACACCAACTTACCGTTAAGTAAAGCCCTTTTATTCATTAATTCATGGGCAGAGGAGTATTTGACGTTTAAATTCTGTTCAAAAGAATTCAATATGAGCTCCGCTACAATTGTAGATTAGAAAAATTATCTGCGAGAGTTGTGCGCAGCTAGTTTGCTGAAAAAACCGATTTTTGTCGGAGGGAAAGGACTGACAGTTGAGATATACCAGTCCTTTTGATCGTTGAATGTATAATGTAAAATGCACCTATCCACAGCGATGGGTGTTTGGCAGGATCTGTGAAACTAAAGAGTGTTTTTTTGTACATAATGCCCGATAGGAGAAGAGTGCATAAGAACATCAATTAGACCGGGATCCATTATAATGTCTGAACTGTGGAAGTCCTATAGTGGGATTGAAGGAATGATTGGAAAGGATTACAGGCATTGCACTGTAAATCACTCCAAAAATTTAATCGACCAAGAGACTGGTTCTCGCATTCAAAGAGTTGAGTCTATGTAGGCGAAGGCTAAAGGGATAAACAAAAATCAAAGCAAGGTCCATCTAAAAATAATAATAATTTTCTTATTTAAATTAGTGATATTTACTAGTTTAAGTTGTATTCAACGACTGTATAATATTTATGAGGAAATCTCCAGACGGAAGATTATGTAATGTTTTATTATTATATATTTGCCATTATACCTAAGTGTTCCTGCTTTTATTATCATTTATATTATTTCTTTTCTTATTTTTTACATATTATTAATAATAATAATAATAAAAGGCTTAGCGAACCCGAAGGTTCGATGCTGATACCACCAATCGCTTGTTACACACCTCCCTCCGCCGTTCGCCGTCCAAACCCAGTCCCTTCAAATCGGCTTTAATGCAATCTTCCCACCTTCGCTTCGGTCTAACCCTCGGACGCTTACCATTCGGCACAGCAAATATTAACCGTTTAGGAATTCTCTCGTTAGTAAGACCAACAACTTTACAAGCCCATTTGATTCGCCGCGATGAAATTACCTCAATTATATTACCCGGATAAAGCTCACGCAATTCGGCGTTGTGTAAACGTCTGAACTCTCCGGTTAACTCATCCTTCTTCGGTCCGAATATTCTACGCAATACTTTATTTTCAAAAACCTTAAGACGCTGCTCATCCCTTAATATAAGCGGCCAAGTTTCACATCCATAAAGAACTGTAGGCAAGATAATTCTTTTATAGATTACATATTATTAATAATCTTATCAAAATAAAATTTCAATGTTGTAATAATATTAAAATTTGTAATATATATTACTATAAACTCGTTATCGTGGTTTTAGGAACTTTTTTCCTCTCCTAGTATCTAACACGATGTTGGGTTAAGGTACAATTTTTAATAATAGCTCATTATAAATGTTGTAAATTATTATAAATAGATGAAATGTTGAACATTTCCTTCGCTTACTTTATACAGGTCCAATTTTCGGTACAGAAGTACTTTAATCCACATGTACAACTAAACTCGTTATATTTTGTTTTTCGACACTAATCTTACTTTTCTACCTATACTAGGTAGTAAGTACGTAGTATCTAAGTATTGCGATCGGGTCAAATTTCCGATATGCGGTTTTCGATGGATCTAGACGTTTCAGGGCTTCCTGAGCTTCTCTATTATCTCTAGTTTTAACAGAAATCATTGTTTGACAAAATTAGGCTATGGAAAAAAATTTTTGATCAATAATATTAGAGGCTATTGACATTTTTACACTGATCTACCTTAAGCCGGTTTACATTACTTTATTTTACCAAGTAAATCGTACTCAAATCTTTTCTTTGATCAATTTTCAGGAAAATAAATCTAATTCAATTGTTTTTTGTTTCATATTGGACATTTGTAAATATATATAACAACTTTTCTTAAATAGATAGGAAAGTCGTGTGAGTGGACACACCAGATTATTTCCTTTTCGCCTCTCTAAGACTACGTCGCGTAAAAATACAATTTTGAATGGTGATACAATGATGAAATAATGAATGAATTCCTAGCTTACAGTATGCAGTCCCGATTTTCAATTTATGAGATATTTCAATTCATATGTAAATATTTCGGAAATCTGACGGATCAATCTTATTCACTCTTCACAAAAAAGTGCAAAACGCATGTAAAGGAGTTTTCACTTTAAAAAAAAAATCAAAATTTAAATTCCTCACTTTTCTGCTAGAAATTGTTTATATGTACTTTTTTTGTAGACATTAATAATTTATGGGATAGTCTGTATATATTAACAGAAAACTATAAATGTAAAATCAATTCCTTACCCTGAGATAATTACCGTCGCTTCCGCCTGCGCAGACAATGAACGCCCCATTTAAGATTCATAACGATCTGCTTAATTAGTACGAGTGAAATTGGGCTACTAAAGACCCATTGTGACGGTGCACGAGGGATATCCTCCTCCTTTATTATCGGACCCGTGAAAGAAGAGGACACTAAACTCGAGAAGAAGAAGAAGTTTCAGGAAGACGCTTGTCCAATAAAACAGTTGGAGGAACTGTTGGGAAGTTTGTTGAAGTCTTGTGGGAGGATCCTTCAAGATATCTGACAACCAGAGGGTGTTTCAATGAGAAAATTCCTGCTTCAAGTTCTAGGTATTGTTCGATGGCTATGTCAACACTGTTCGACCTCCGTGTCTCTTACTAATCTGATTGTATCATGACCTATGGGGATGGAGATTCGCTAGTTATCGACTTTTAAAATTTATTTGATTAAGGATCCTTTATTATGTTATCGAAGGTATTCTAATATCTCTGATTCAAGTAGTTTAAAAAAGTTACAATAAAAAGATACTCGTGCAATCATTTTTTTGTTATTATTATTTATTATGATATTTACAACTGTATAAAAAAAAAAATCTAGTGCGGTGCGTCACACAACTTTCGCTTTCCACCCTCATCTCAGAAATGAGTATTTTCAGACAAAGGGGAGGAGAAGGTAAAAATTATAGACGCTATATTTATTTATATTTCATTTTTTCATTAGTGGGTATTTTTGTTTCTAGTACTCTATATAAAGTACTCTAATATATACAAATTTTAATATTTAGATCGCTGTACAATTAAATATTAAATAATACCAACAATAGCATTTATCAAAACCGCGTTCACGTGACAGATTATTATATTTCTAAATTTAAAAAAAAAATAGTTTTAAGCACACTAAATTTCATAACTGTTTAGTTGTTGGCAAGCTAATAAATTTATTAGAAAAAAAAACATAGTGTTTTAAATTTTTTTTTTTCTAACCCCCAAAATGTTTATTTAATCAATTTACATATATAGTATACATAACAATAATATATATCGCAGTAACAAATTCCTTCCACTGCCCGAGGGCATTAGAAATTCAATTAGTGTTTTAAAATACTTATAATTGTTTAGTTGTTGGCAAGCTAATAAATGTATTAGAAAAAAAAAACATAGTGTTTTAAATTTTTTTTTCTAACCCCCCAAAATGTTTATTTAATCAATTTACATATATAGCATACATAACAATAATATATATCCCAGTAACAAATTCCATCCACTGCCCGATTGCATTAGAAATTGGAAATTCAATTAGTGTTTTAAAATACTTATGCCGACTAAAAGTATTTAAAGATATTTTTTAATTCGGCAAGAATGATTTCCAGTTTCAGTTAAAAAACATTTCAGAAACTGGTTATTCTATCTTTCAAAATCTAGACTAAGTTGATAGTATACGTGAAACATATATTTAAATACATAATTTTTTTATTCAATATCCGTTTTAACAGTTAAAATATTTTATTATCCACCAGAGAAAAAAATATTTCCAGTGCTTCACCATCATTTAATTTTGAAATCCAGGACTGCAGAGGCTGTTGGAGTTGTTGATGGGTCCCAGAGGGACACGTTGAGCATGGAGCGGTTTCGATTCCCATCTGGCTCGACTAAAATGTATTTCGGGTTGTAACATGATATAAATCTCCCTCTGTTCACTATATAAAAGTTAGATCGTGAAAAAAAAAAAGCTGCAGCCACTATATTTTAGAGGATTTTGCACCACGACCTTTTTTTTAATTTTTATATATTGTTTTATTTTAATTAATATTTCGTTTTATATTAACAGAATTAAATTAATTTTGTCTCATACGCCTTGTATTCTTTTTTTTTTAATTTCTAATAAGTGGTGGATACTTCCATCCCAGCGCCTCTGAACAAATGCCCAGGATCCCCTCCTCTCTGGCCTCTACTGCTTTCCATGGAACTAGAAGAAGCAAAGAAGAGAGTGGTAAGTGGGAATATAATATTGAACGGATTTAAAAACAATCAAAACCTCCTGGAAACTGCAAATTGAGCTTGAATGAAAAAAAGCTACAATGCCGCTGAATTCCAGATAGTGAGAGACAGAGAATTGATTTCATTAATTGGAAAATTTGACACGAGACGAAAAAAGAACTCTAGTTTCAACTTTTCCAACCAACAACAAATTGGAAGAAGGTCAGAAACGAAGTGATCTACACACCAGCAGACTAACTAGAACGTACTAAACCATGTCCATATGGATTTGAGTACGTTAAAAACGAATCATTCATAGACTACTCCAAAATTTTATTTTTTTATAACGAAATTTACAGCTGTAATTAATAATAAATACAACAAGTAAATACGAACAAGTAATATGACATGTACAACATGAAGAGAAACTACCCATTGGTAGCACTCCAATTATATTTCTAGATTAGAAGGTCCCGAGGCATTTTCTTTTAAGACGCCTCGGAGGGTTTTCAGGAATAGAAGAGGAAGCAAGGTTGGAAACGAGAGGGTTCGGATGGTTTAGAAGTTTATTATGAAAAGACAGGTATCTGGATTGAGCTAAATCGGAAACATATGGTACATTAAGGTCATTATGGATGATTTTATTTGTGACAAAGTAAGGAGCGTTGAGGATTTTACGAAGGATTTTGGATTATAGGGATTGGATACGAGAGGAATTTGATGGTTTAGTAGAGCCTCAAAGCTCGATCCCATAAGTCCAAATAGGCCTTATTATAGTAATATATATGAGTCTTTTGTAAATAGTTGGCAGTTTAGAGCGTTTGTCTAATAAGTGCTAGAGTAGTCGGAAACGTCAGGCGGTTTCTAGTCGTTTCAGTTCCAAGTGAGTCGTTTGTCAAGGTGGAGTCCTAGGCGTCGGATTTGGTCAACAGGGATAAGTGGGGTATTGTTAAAGTAATTTGATAGGATTTATTGGAGTTTATTTTAATCCTCCAGTTTTGACACCATTTATCAATACTTGTGATTTGTGATTGAAGAGTTTGGGATGCAATAGATGGATCGTTATTGACTGATAGGATACACGTGTCATCGGCATAACTCCAAAATTAGGGAACAAAAACGTGAATTTTGTGTTAGAAAATACTCGTTTTTCAGTAATTTTTTTTTTTTACAAATTTTCATTTGAAGTATCGTTTCTCTACATTATGGAAACTGACTTTGTTCCTGTTATGATTTGGTCATTATTAGCAAAGATATGGGTTTTATTACAATAAATTTGATTGTTTTTCCCAACCGTTTTTCAAAGTAACTAAAAAGCTATAAGTTAGAAGTAATGGCTATAAGTTACATAGAGCATTACATCTTTGTTTTAGGCCTGAACAAGCAATTTAACTGAAAATATAAAGCTTATAGAACAAAAATTAAACAGTTTTTTTCGCCTCCTGAAAATTTTTAGTTTTTGTTCTTACAAGCTTTTGCAGTTTATATAACTATATATTAAATCTACATTGTCAAATTGAAGCCTTTAGCAATTTTATAACAATTTAGTTTTGTCGAAAACTTTTTCATACAACTCTATACGCGTATTATGTTATATTATATATATAAACATTTAAATATGGGGATCCTAAATACAAGCCATCCCACACACAATAATCAATCGATAACCCATCACAGTTTCCTGGAAGAAGATAAAATATCCCTGAATCCCTTCCTCCTTTCATCCCTTCCCGTCCCTATATCTCCCCAAAGGTTCCCGATCTGTGGCGGGGTCGCTAAATTTAACACCCGTCACGTTTTCAGGTTTTATAAAAACCACAATGCTCCCTTCAGAGGTAACTGGAGTATTGATTGTATCTCTCTGTTGAGGTGTTGGGTGTTGAGAAATTCAATTTAAAAGGAGAGATCATAAAAAATCTTTTGACGTATCGCTTTTAGTCCTCCAGATTTTTTTTACTTTTAATGATTTTATTCACACCTGTCAAACTGTAACAATAAGCAGATGGCCTGTAGTTGTTTGATAAAATTTGCAGGCCAGGCATGAGAGAATTTTTTACCCATCGGCAGCTACTCCTAATTTTTACTTTCACTTACCTATATATGAAATATATAGTAAGGGAAATTATTGCAATCATGAAAACATTCGAATCCCTGTTTTCAACGGAAATACTCGTTTTTTTGAGGTCTCCTGAGTCCAAATAACCAAGTCTCGGAAAATGGTGTAAGTATGTGTGTGTTTGTTAACAGTTTAGCTCAAAAACGAAACGTCGTACGCAAGTGAAATTGCATATTTAAGATTTTTATGTATTAGGGATGTTACAGAAACTTTTTCGTGAAAATCGGCTAACTGGAAGTGCCACTTTATATAATGGACTAAACACATTTTTGCGATTTTCTCAAAAACAGCTCAAACTATTTTGATTAAATTCATCATATCAGTGTAAAATTAAGCAGTTTTAAATAAAAAGTAGTTTTTATTATGATTGATGTTTTCTAACAGGGCTTAAATGGCTAATTTTCAATATTAGCTTCCTCTAAAGTACTTTTATTATTTTTTAATTTGAAACAATTGACCATTTCACATTAATCTCTAATATAAAAGATAGTTAAATATAAAATATGAAAAAAATTGATAGTTAACTAAAGAAGAAATAAGAGATCGTAACGGAGAATACTTGTAATTGAGGAACCAAAGGAATACGGGTGCACCCGAACTCACCCGAAATATTAGAACACACTTCCATAACATGAGCTTAATATAATAAGGACTCCGAAAATATTATATAAATATACATATGCGGTTTTTATAGATGCTATTCTTGGTATTATTTTATATTTAATTGTGTTGATTACAGCGAAATAAATATTAAAATTTGTATTTGTTTCAGGATTGTCTTGTAGATTAATAGTTTACTCTCAACTGAACGTTAAACATTTATAAATTAAATTAATAATTTGGTAAATTGTAAATATTGTGTTTTATGATATTTAATGATCGATGTGATTTCGCCCCCTGAACCCGCGTCAAGAGCAGAAAAGCTGTTAGAGACAGAAATTCAGTTTCCGACCGGGCAGAGCGACCTTAATTACAGGTAAAGATTAGGCAGGATGCAGCAATTGCTTTGGCTTAGCAAGTCGAACTCCATTTTGGAATATAACGGTAGCGTTGACATTTCTCGATAATGGCGTAAAGTAAGCTTATATATTTACGTCAACTTGTATATTTCATACATATATATGTTATAAAATAATACCAAATGAAACAGTTTTCCGTAAAAGTCGAAATATGTCAATATAAAATAGGATA